CGCCATTTGACATTTTGATGGGCTGCTGCATGATGATTTATATTGAATTTCCTCGATGGTCCTAAACACAAATAAGATGCCACGATAAAATCAAGTCGGTTTGTTAAGGGAATACAGCAATCAACAAATAAACAGCTTCGTCTCACGGCATGTAGGAAAACCTTGCTCTAACAGCATCGGGCCGAAATTTGAATAACACATTCTCATTTGCTAATTGCCAATTCTTCCCTATGTTAATCGATACCTCTGAGACATAAATTTACAGATTAAAACTTAAAAAAGTTATTTTAATCATGTTTTAGTTCCATGTTGGTAGTAAACGGAAATCCAGCAAACTGATAGTAATCTGAAAAAGTTAAACGTAGATACCAGTAAACATTTATGATCTTAAATTTCTTAAACTTGGCGTTTCTTTTCAATAAACTGAAAATAAACATATTTCTAATCCATTAGGAACCGCAACTGCTTATTTCTCAGCCCAATACAATGATATAATACGCTTACCTGTTTATCACTTTACCGGGTCCATGTGATTTAAACATGCCCTATAAAGCAGTAAAATGGGACAAACTATGAAGTAGACTACAAACACCCTCGAATCTGGAATGTTTCGAATGCAAATGTAGAGGCGCATACACGAGGATGACTGTAAACTTCATCGTTTATGCATTTTGCATTTCACTTACGATATTTCACTCGTAATGAACTCTATGTACAACAAAGGCCTGATGCGTATCCAGCAACATGCCAAGAGAACTAATAGCTGGATTAAACGATAAGTAGATTTGAAATCATACATTTCCAAGACTGGTTTTAATTTAGAGAGTGAGGAAAATTTCTTACGATGCATAAAATACCATATTGAGAAAGGCATCATTTCTGTCAAAAATTCTTAAGATGGAAGGAATAGGTACACTTTAAAGGACCTCAAGGACAGGACACAACAAGCAGCAAGCGGACTGGGATGTTGATTGATAAAAGGTTGAAAACCCTCTGTTTGCACGCAACGTCCACACTCGCACCCATAAGCCACCCCAGTACACCCCCGCAATCCCTGTACTATCGAATGCGGATTCTGGTCGATCCGTTGGCGCTCTGCTTTTCTCCACCACGCTAAACGTAGGACGGACACACCACGTTCGCAGGCAGGTGGCCTCCCCACTGGGGCGCACGCGCGTTCACTGACGCGCCAGTTTCAAGCACGATGCTTCCAAAATTTTTGTTCCGCTTCTAAAATACCCCAATATATTCTTCAAAGAACTTACTAAATGTGTGGGGAATTAGCAGGCCATGGTCACAAGTGTTCAGCTTACAACGGTACCGTTTATCGTTGTTATATAGTAATGCCAGCAACCGTGCTTGCCTACTTATCCTCTACTTGTATCACAGATGCAAGACAGTTTGACGAAGAATTTAAACAAAAAAATTGGGATTGTGGGCTTGTTTTTGAGTTGCTATGGTGAAGACAATGATAGCCATTCAGGTACCGATTTTCATTGTGTGGTAGTAGGTGTGTTCGGTTGCCTTGAGCTTCTTCGGGTTAAATAAGGATTTAGTGAAAAGGTAATGTCACCTTAGAATACTTAAAGCCGTGAAAATAACCCCTGCCTAAATTTGTATAAATTGCTGAATGCGCCACCCTAAACCATAGGAGACGAAATTTCATCAACTACCAAACTGAACATTTATAATAAAATACTGACGAAAATTGTGAATCCACCTGATAGTTTTGCTCTTCTAGTTCCATTGACTATTTCACTAAACAAAACTTAATTGATATGGGCGTTTGTAGTGTCATAATAGCTCATTCATTAATTTCTGATTCTGGTAGATCAGGGTATTCTTCCGATATCAACAAGTTATTTTAAAGTGAAGAGAAGAATAAAATGAAACCCAAAGTCACAAAAAGGATGTCGCAAACGGTTCCATATTTATCACCGCTCTATCTTTCTGTTCTGTGGCCAACTTTAACGCACACGACCTCTACCAGGACGTTTTGAGGCAACAAAAATAACACTAAACAATATATTATGGATGGCCTGATTTTCAAGTTGAATACTCTCTCTCTCAGCGCATATATATTTGATGACATGAAAGATGTAGGGAGCCGCGTTATTTTAATAATCTCAATGCTCATAATACTCCGCAGAGAGTATTTTTTGAGGTACAACCAACGTGTTTATGCACTTAAGCCTCTAAAAACTTAAAAAATCTGAAATTTCTGACATAAATTTACGTTCACAATCAAATACTTTGGTTAGTATTGTCTCTGTGTACCGCAAAAAACTAAGTGCACAGATGCCCGCATATTTCCACTCACATCAAGCCGTTTTGAAAACACTTAATGTAAGTAACATAAGTATGACATTACTAGAATTGAATCTAAAAGCATGAGGTGCAATGCAACAGGCTGAATTCTTAACTGGATCAAGACCACAACTTTATAATAAGCGCATAAAACTACCAAATCCGATTGTAATTAACTGATTGATTTCTCACCGGTACGCTCACTAGCATTGGCTTTGCTCTGACACCAACAACGCCAGTAGGTGTTACGCATTGATGAAAAATGGTGGATTCCAACCAAACGCAAATGCAACAGAAAAAACCGCATGGCGAATGAATTACTCAAGTGTGCATGCTTTGGCCAGACCATTATCTCTACCACAAGGGCACACTCAGGTTTGGGTTGGAGCGCGATGGAGGACAGGTCGGATAGGGAGCTGGTGAGAACGCACGCAGGACAGACACACAATAGCACGGACAGGTAGGGGCAGACACGCTGACTCGCCCTGAGGCTGGCCCACTAACGTTTCCAGTGTTGTTTTGCTTCTTGTCTCCTCGACTTCCTCCCGAGCTATTCACGCGCTACGCGTGCAATCGATTCTAGCCACACTATTCATGTTTGTTACTACCCTTCAGTGGTTTTTCATGTGAATAAAATCCATCTTATCACACATTGTTAAATGGAAACGACATCGCCTTAGTGCGTGCGCACCTGGGACACAATGTTGGATCGCATCATTTTCCTGGCCACCACAATGGTCTGGTGTGCTCTAGGTGCAGTTTGTGATAACCGGTGCAGAATGGACGTGTCTGTGCAAGTTGGAAATCCTTTTATCTTTGAACTTGGGACAAAAGTCAAGGTATTCTTTTATTTCGTTTAATTATTATTATTGATATTTTCACTAATTCATTAAAATTCCTATATAGTTTTGACAAATCGAGTACGAAGTATTTGTAAGTACTTGGACGAACCCAAATCGCTCACACCCCGTTAGAGATTCTTTGTTGTGTGTCGTTTGTGCCTTTCCATTAGTGAGGTCCCACGAGCCTATGATCGATGTTCTGGTTTGGTTGCTTTGTGGTATTCGTAGAGGACAGTAGTCTTTGCAATATGGTATGTTTGAGTTTCCTATGCTAACGTTCTTCATGCGAATAGCGTTGAAATTAAAAATAGAAGATTTTGAACACGTGGATTTTTCTAATTTTTTTCATGGGCGTTAGTGAAGAAATACTACAAGGGTGGCAAGAATGGAGGTCCTCTAGTCCTTTTGTGAAAAGGGTGTGGAACGCCTTCACAATTAACTGATTTTTCTCTACGGAATATTAGCGTTCCAATAACGCCTAACAGAAATGTTATACAGTTTACCGGGTACATTTAATTTGTATTTGAAATGCAGATACGTGCTTTTCAAGCCAAGATTTGTTTGAATGACATCCCAGACGAAGGCGAAACATTTGCCACGGAAAGGTTTTTCTGATGCATTGCAAATAGTACGCTCCTTTACAGGGTTAAGGAGTAATAAAATGAACAAAACTTCCGTCCGCATTGCTCGGGAAGTGAGATTTCAGTTAGCATTTCAACATGAAGACTTTGCATGCCTAAAGTTGCTTTATAGGGATCAGGAGTTATCGAAACTCGATTTCCTTCCGTTTGGTTATAGCTGAAATAAAACATTATTAAAGAAAACGTACGCAGTGTAGTTAAGACGCCTTTTTTATCCGGCATCCTCAAAGTAAAATTCCGGAAATTAATGTCCTGTTACAAACCAACAAGATAAGTCACGGTCGACTGTTCATCTAATCTACTCTATTTACCACCCAGCTAAACAAAGCTGTGATCTCAAAATGTACCTAAGTTTATACAAAAGAGAACTGTAAATTTTGCTTATCTACACCCTCTTTTTATTCAAAGTGCAAAAAATGCGTTGTGAGTGAATCCAACTCAAAGCCCCGTAATTTCAAAATAACTAAAAACAAATACTAAACGACGAATAATGAGTTACCGCGTTTATTCAGGGTATAGATCATCATCTGCTGCGTGTACACGACACCTAGAAAGGTAGACTGAACAAATTTGTAATTAATTAGACATGCAAGACAGCTTGATTGTTTTCGCAGGACCATGCAGTAAAAGCTGGCTTAAAGTTTCCTTTGATTTTGTATCCTATTCAATGTAGCCTCTTTATTGAGGGTTTTTATTTATTTATTTATTATTTTGATTGAATATTTCCAGAGCGTTTGACAGTAACTTTCAGCGTGTACCTCGTGACTATTACTTAAAAAGAAATTCACGCAAGTTTTGAGGCTTCTTTGAGAGACGGAATGCGGACGTATTGCTGGTGCAGCAAACGTCCATGGGGCATCGCAAACAAAGTGTGAAGTCCTTCTAGCCATAATTAAAGCAAATATTGGATATGATTCTTCCTTTGCAAACATCCTTTGTTTATTTTCGAGCTGAAACAAATTTCGTTCTCAAGGCGAATGGATTTTTAAGATTTTAGAAAAACTATCTCTCTAGTGAACGCGCCTTAATTAGCTTCCTTTCCACATCTGCTTTCTTAACCATTTAAGTTTTGTCCAACAGTCCTCTAACAAAAACCATGAAGTCCAGGAAGCGTTGAAAGAGTCTAGACAACTTGCCGGTGGCTAAGTGTCGTTTTCATGAGTTGTGGTTTTGTTTTAAGCTTCATCGCTTGAACCCCACAGGTTACCTTATGCTTTTTTTGGAGAAGATCGAGCTGGTGAAATGTACACAGCTTTCAGTTAATCATTTGCTTAAGTACACCCAGATGATAATTGTATACCTTATTTTAGGTAATTTCTCCACTTCCAACTTGGTTAACCGCTAGCAAAAGTGGAGACCTTGGTCATGTGACACTTTTGGGTTTGCCCCTATATCGTGATGTGTTCAACAGCAGTACCTTCACTGTGACGATTTGTAATTCAACAGTCACCTGTTGCTGCTTACACCTCTCTGTAATGAGCTTGCCCAAAGATCCACCCATCTTCACATGTTTGGTCGATCACCCGATACTTGCTGCCATCGTCACCGGTTTGGAAAATCCAGAGCGTATCATGCAATCTCCAATAGGCAGAATAAATCTTTGGAGCACAATGCATGCCCATTTGGTTGGTTTTAATCTACAGCCAGCGAGTCGCAACGTTACGAGACACAGCTTTGCTGTGTTGGACAAGAAACCAAAGATATTAAGGTGTGTTATCCATTGTGCATTTTCATCCGATTCATAGCCTGCGATAGCAGGTAAAATTGTCTCTTGGTGATATTTTGTAAGCTTAGTCTGCAGTTAACCTGGAGTATAAGCTTATGTCTGGTAGGAATTCCAACCAAGCAGATTTGATTTCACGATCTGCGCACTCATTTAGAACCAACGAGTTTCCTGCATTTGTTTTGCATTTTTTATGCAGATGTTTGTTTTGGCCCAGGTAATATTTTTCTTTACATTTTAGTAAGCACTTGTTACCAGAATTTTGACAAGTAAATACTTTATGAGCCAATGCTATATACCTCAAATAAGACTGTTTATAAAGTTTCCAGTCTTAAAGATGACAAAAGTTGGTGACACTTTCTTGTGGGTGCTGAAAACCAAACTTTAGAGTTTCATAGGCAACAAACGTACTATTTAGGGGACATAACGTGTTTTAAGAATGACTGTTTTTGACAAAAATTGAGTAATAAATTCACACAGCATATAATTATTACGGTTGCGCAAGCTACCTCATATATTTACTGTTTTAAGTCACGAATTAGTTAAAGATGCTTTGGAACTGCGTTGAAAGAACTTTGAACCACAACAATAAGAAGGTTTCTTAAAGTGCAAGTTGCTGTCGTGTAAAAAGTTGGACTCTAATCTCAATATCCCTTTATGCGTTCTACTACCTGTATTAATCAAGTTGCTAAGCACATGGTTTGGTTGCATAATCTTGTTTTCATTTTCGGTCACATGTTTGGCCTATTTATTTTCGAATGTGAATCACAAAAGCCATCCCATCTTCAAGGCTAGAGTCTTCCGTTATTAGGAAAACCCTTTTCAAAATGACCTGATTTTTAATCTTTGCCAAGATTGTTTCCTCATATCATCGATCTATGCCAGCTTCATAAAAAAAGCAAATATTTTCGATCAAATTAATTATTTTATCATTATACTTACTAACTTGTACTCTTCAAATAATCATAGAATTCGACGACTGCCCTGTAGGGTAGGGCAAGAAAAATTTTCAATTTAAATCGGTAAATGCATTTACAAAGTTTCAGAAGAAGAAAAAAATATCACATCTGGTCCATCTTGCGTGTGCAGAACAAATCAAATTTCGTTTCTCCTCTTACATGAAAAGTGATCTAAACTCACTACAACAAGTGGACGTTTACGCGATCCATTAAAATAAGTTAAACTGTACAACTGAAACGAAACTGGATTGCTGCTCTTAAGTGAATCGTATGGCATTTCCAGTTGCTAACGCAACCTTTTCGTGATGCTTGTGACAACTGATTCAGCCATCTTTAACCACCACTTAACCATGGGAAGTACTGGCATGTCACGTAAGAAAAGAAGTCCGTTGTTATCATTCATTCCCACAAATATCGGACTATATCAAAATATTCGCTAGAAAAATTTCTAGATTGGCACCAGAATCTCGTGTAGGAGCGGTGAAATTCGTAAACACCATAGCTAAGGTGTGTAACATTACAGGACACGAATTTCAATCACAGGTTTTTTAGAAACGGGTAAAACCTTTACCCCTGTTTTTTAGATAACCACAAATGTCTATAAACAGTGTAAAACGTTTCTGTAAATGACTAGCACTTCATGTTTGCTTACCTGTGCATAATTTTGGAAAAAAATGATTTTGCCTCTAATAGTAATAGATACTTGACTGGCAAAAGCCTTACTTGCATTTACCATCTGGTTAAGGAAAGCGTTTATGAAGAAATGTATAGTATTTCTTAGTACATTAGGAAGGTCGTTTATCGTTTTGTCAATTATTTCCATAATTTCAAAAGTGGATAGTCTTTTGACATGACGAGTTTTAAGTATTCTTTGAAGAATATGGTTTCGTAATGGAAATTGAAGCCTTTTACATCACATTTCTAGCTACCTTAGAAGTAAACAAAATTTTCGGACTCGGTTATTACGCAAAATAAGCCTTTTTAGGAAGTAAACTGTTGGAATGTCTAAGTCAACTGTGCCTTCCACTCATACTTTCTCCTTCTAGCTTTCTTCCGCCATTTTTCCAAGCAAGAAATTGGTGTTTTTTAATGATTGGCTTGTTGAAAAGTATGATCAGTATTTCGTAAGTCCAACTTTAATGAGCTTTTTGCAAAAAATGTATTAAGTCAACACCATCGATTGGGATTTCATTTTAAACAAAAATCCCAAAACGTTTCGAGTTTATCGCAATTTCCATTATAAATGAATTCATATATTGGTGTAGGATTAATAACCTGTCCTGGAATAAATGTTTTTATAGAATATGTAAAGTGAATATTGGGTATTGAGACCAAAAAGAAACCTAAAATCTCTGATTACTCTGAGCCGCAAACCAAACTTCAAGTAAGGAGGCTAACAGTTACTGTTGGTTGCCAGCCTATACTAAAGTTTAAATATCAAACATTATTTTAAATTTTAGTTCACTGCAAATTCTGGCTCAGGCTACCAATCACCAAAACTGTACAAGTGCAATTAATAAGGAAGGCTTCCTGCGGCTTTACTTTCTGTGGAAAATAGGCTGTGGGTATCTTGACGACACATCATTGCATCTTCTGACCAAAATTGAAACTCGGTTCCAAAGCAAACCAGTCATTTCAGAGTGGCTGGGTGCAACCACAAATGGAAGCCAAGTCGTCTTGTTAGATTGGATGGTTGGAGAGTACTCTCCTAAACTCAAAGTTCGATCGAAACGACATAGCCCTCAGGTCTATCAGCGCGTTTATCCATCTCGTACTGCTGGAGCCATTTCGGAGGCCTCAGGAGTGGTTTCATCCGATGTAGAAAGTCTTAATCTTCCACCTTCCTCTAGCACATCACCCATCGTTGTGCAAGCAATAGCACCAATAGAGATAACAGTTAACCAAATATCTAATATCAGGATACCGGCGACCACATTTGATGCACCTGACGGAACCAAGCTTCAGTTAAAACTATTTGATCACATGTACCCGATGCAGTTCGGGTTTGATTTTAAAGACCCGTCAACTGTGACCGGTAAAGAGATTGACAGTAAAGGAACTAATTGGGTTTCTTTTGACGCTGCCAACGAAATACTCCGACTTCGACCCTACTCCGAGCATGAAGGCACGCACAAATTCGTTCTCTGTGCCTACAACATAGCTGGCACCCGTGCCTGCAGTAAGTAAAGACCTATTGGAATGCTTCTCTTTTATTATCGTATTGCAATTGTGCAGCTTAACTTTCCTATTTCTTACGACTAAATTTAAGCGCAATGGTAGAACCCTCCCTTGAAATGATATCATATAAATACCGAAAGTATGAAATTAATTCGCTGCCACTACTGAGGTATGTGCCTTTAAACCGAAATCTTCACTATTTCAACTTGACTTGAAATTGATTTAATTTCAATCTGGTGGCTTCATCGGCAATATCAACATTGGTTTTGACAGTTACTGGCTTCGTGATTTTGCGATCTAAGGCTATGTAGTGTAATCTCTGAGAACAGCATGGATTGAAAAGTGTGTTAGAGGTTCAATTCTAAATGTAGGCAGTTTTTAAAATAGTACAAATAAACTAAATGTAATTGGACCGAATTACTTACATTTAGGTATATGTTCACAGATTGGATTAAATAGAATCTGCTATCACACGTCTTGGGAGTTGATTCATGGGAAGGTTGTTCCATAATACATGATGTTTTATTTAGTGTAAAGCGTCAGTAGTCTATAAATTCTGAGCCAAAGGATTGTGTCGGCATAGTTTTTATTCCTAGTATCACGATGTGGTAGTTATCTCAAATATAGATTGGTTTGAACCCATATTTCGCTTTTCTGATTGATGTGTGGGTTTACTTGTTGTTGGCTCAACCTAGACGCTGCTCTTTGATCCTAAAATCTCATAAAAAATATTAAGCTATCATAAACCATGATCATTTTTTAGCTGTATTTAAATAGCGTAAAATACATTTGAATGTACTTTTCTTCTAAATCCTTCAATCCTGGCCGCCAGTGACTAGATAATAATACATTATATTTAATTGAAAGTTACCATGAGAAACACTTTTCTTTATGTAGCGAACATTCACGTACACGTGAAACCGCCGACACCGATCAAAAAAAGTTTCATCCTTCACGTGTATCCAGGTGCGTTTTGTGACCGTGTGTATGTCCTGTGCATTCATTTCTTACATCTTCCGACTTTTTTTCAAAACTCTTCAAGGCGTAAATATTGCATTCTCATGTCGTTTGTTCTAGGTGATCCAAGATGGCTCAGATATTGTTTTTAATGTACATGATGTTTGAGTGATTAATAACACTGTAAAAAAATGTTCCTAGATTGAGAATTTCTTCCATCACAAACGTAGATCTGTCGGGACAATGAGAAGTAGCTCTGGTCTTAAAGTGAACATAATAGGATTCCTTCTTCTTTCATATCTAACTCTGCTTCCTATAATTCATGCCATCTATAATTAAAGACACCAGTTTTATTTCTTGTTAGGTATTTAAAATAAAGTTTGGTTTGCAAATTCAGCTATCCATTTTACAGGCACATTGTTTTGAATTTTATGGACTTAGTCCTATTGTTTAATTTCCTTAGCAAGTGCAACAATATGCTGAAAAGTATAAGTTAGAAGTATGTTTGAACCCGGATCTTCGTTTGGCTCCAAAATTCCTAAATTTATACGTTGATACCCGTTACTCAATATCGCAAACACTTTAGGACTGAAGAGCAAAAAAATAGGAGGATTTGAACAGTCCTTAGGTCAATTAAAATAAACTTTTTATGATCTTTGTCTAGATGACACGGTCCATTGTGTTAATTGTCACAAATAACATTGACCACGTCTAAAGACTAACCAGCCCACTACACAATCTGGTTTCTACAGCGCTAACCATGGATTATTGTAAGAAAATCCTACCACCATATAGACCGTGGCTGTCTGCAATTTGACATTAGTGGAGCATACAAAAGGTCAAGTCATCAGGGTATCTGAGAGAGCGGCCTCAACTTGAAGTAAAGTTGGGCGTTAACCCCTGGGGGGGACCCAGATAAGTAACGATTCTCACTATCGATCGATGCGGTGACCTGAGCACCCTGAGCTAAACTGGGCTCGGCTTGACTCATTTGCATAAATGCTTAATATTATTAAACCATAACAGTAAAGTAGTTTTACCTTTCGATACCATAGAAAATTGGCACATTCATGCTTAGCCCATTAAGATGAACAATTGCCCCAGGTTAATTTTAATTTCTGCGGAAAATCATTGTCAAATATAGGCAGCAACTCTTTTGCTTAAGCTTACATCCTGCGAATAACCAAAAGGAATTTTTAGTATAATATCAGTATCAACTGAATGCTGAAATAATGGCAATGCGTCAAAATATTTACTGCTTTAATTTCATTGCACAAATTATGGCCAAAGCAAATGGGAATTATCGTAAATTTTGATTACCAATTTCTAGGGTCTTTTACTTTCAATATAAATAAGCGAACTAAAAAATCACGGATTGTTCTCCTTATCCGTATTTTTGGAACATTGCGCACAAATTCTTAATCTTTATTATACTGCTTTGCCAAAGCCTTTTGTCTTATAGCACATTTTAACCACTGAGAATATAAGCATCCGGAATTAGCAAAGATCTTGTGTTTTATATTATCTGGCACTAGAAAACATCGTTGTAATATCCGGTTTATTTTTTTGGACACTAAACGCATGTTCTTAGGATACGAGGTCACGTCTATGCCATTCCATGGGCCTTATACCAGCGTGTTCCTATTGCCTCCGCATTTAAAAATAAACAAACTCAACATTGGTCAATTGTTAAGTCAAATCAGACGATATTGAATGTTTTAAATTAAACTTATTGCATGCATACAACCATTCTTTCAAAAGTTTGACAGAAATTCACTTCACTTGAAAGCAACTCTTTACAGTCCTGAATGACTAATATGAAGCATATTTATCTATTTATTAATTAAGGGTGTCTTTTGATCTTGCCATTAAGGTATTTTCTGGTGTTACCCAGTGCCCGTATACTGGTTCTCGGAGCTCAAAGTTGTGTCCATGTCCGACATTGACATATCTGTGACAGGTATGTTCATAATTGTGAGATAATTTCAACCCAGTCACATTGACACTGCATCATGGCCCTGATATGCGCAAAATTTGACATACTTTGTCGGGGTCATACAAACCTATAGCTTCTCTCAGAAATTCGCCTGCAAGCTCCCACGTCTGGACTGGACGCATTCATAAAGATGAACGCAAATAGACTACTTTTATAGGTAAAAGTGTCATTTGGACATAAGGTTTACCATAGCGGTCTGAATATGTTTTGACAAGAGCAGATTCGCACAATGGATATATCGTCTAGTTACATATTATGGCAAACACAACGCATACTTTTAAGAATGTTTTGAAACGACATTTCAAAATAACAGTTCCCAAACTGCACTCCATGAAGATTCCGATTACAGAAATTAATCTATTTCCCACTTGGAGTGCATCATTTGAATATTTTCTCCTAATCATTATTCACCTTGCAGTCACAAGATTTATCTTGTTAAAACTATGTACTAATAAGATTTAAAAAGTGTAGGAGACTAAACGAGAGATTTTGTACATTTGAAAGACCAATGGCTTGCTTGCAAGTGTTTTTATTGAAAGGCTGTGCGCAAAATAGTTTAAATGAGCCCTCCTCAAATACCGATTAGAAAGTCAACTTTCACGCGTTGCAAAAAGAAGCGTTGTTTATACATAATGGAGGAGTTCAAAATTTCTTAAGAGTATTTTAAAAGCCACTTACGCTAAAACATTGCGATTGAATTTTAACTATTCTAGCATTAGCGTGCCCGTTGGCTGTAAAAATCAAAGTCAAAATCTTTAGCTTTGTGATTACCAGACACGTTTGCTTCTAAGCCCTGCAAATCCTTTGATTTCTCCGATACAGTCCATTCACAGTGCTATTCATCAAGTCACATGTCAGTCAAATTACATAACTTTGGTGCATGCCTATGCTAGGAGCAGTGATGTGATAAACTGTGTGTTTTTATTTAGAAGTCGTTTCTTTTAAATTCCCGTTGCTACATTTTGTTTCAGGTGAATTGTTCTCGTGGGATCGAAATAAAGGTGAAATCTGTGTTGTTACTGAACTTCAAAGTGAACAAATCATGGCCTTCTTGTATGCATAAAATTATATCCAAAAACATTTTACCATACCGTGCTTTGATTTTGAATGATGATTAGCCATTTTACTTAGCTTTCGGGGGACACATAAAGCCTCTACACAAGCAGTGGAGGTCGAGTTCCGAATCTCGGTGAAGGTACCACCCATAGAGAAAATAATTTCCAGCCCAAGACTTCGGATTCGTCTTCGGTGGATGAACGCTTTTAACAGTTATGAGATGAGGGAGCTGTCACGCCTGAACTCCAGCCTGGCACAGGTACTACGTGTTCGCGTGAATCCCAGCGTCACGTCTCAAAACATATTTATCTACGACGTAAGTACTGCCAAACTGTTATGATAGGATCAGATCTTTGTATTTTTCCGCCATTAAGAGAACCCTTGATATGATTCTGCCAAACTTGAAAAGTAAAGGTTCTTTCTTTTGAAGTATTTTGTGAATTTTATTGACTCATGGTCTATGCGCAGTTAATGTGAGTTAAGTATGGTGATATTATGATCGCTGGTAAATAAGTGTGTGGACGTGATAATTTCCAAGCAATCTGCAATATGAGGGATTCTTCGAGAACACTGATCCTTAAAAGTGATTAAAAGTACACATAACATATAATACAAAGCAGGGATGTGAAGATATGCGAATTGAGCATATATCACCATCAAATTTCCTTATGTGAACAAAAAGCCAGACTGCAGAGTTGTCCAAGAGTAATATGTACATTTATTTGCAAAACATATCGAAGCTATTTAAAAATACACAATAAAATTCTAGAAAACACCTTGTGTTATAATCTGAAATAAAAAAATTTAAAATGTTTACCCTTAATTTAACCAGCTGGGACAGATGGATAATTTTGGCTTAATATTTTATGCAGTCTGCTAGACGCCCATCACAGAAGATGCTGTTTCTGTTGATGCATGTTTCCACTTAACGCCATCTCACAGTTCCCTTTTCTGTGTGTGGCTTCACCCATCCCTGCTATCTAAGAGCCGCTATGCTCACCACGCCTCATTGTTTTCATGAATTTTCCTCAATAATAATATGCAAAAGGGATTTCAATTAATCACTGAATGTTCCTGTTAATTTGCAATTAAATCTGTGTTCTGTTATCCATTTCAGTCCTTTTGTAACATGATTTGATACACACATATCGTAGTGACAACCACCCCCTCTTATCACCATTGTACTCTAAAGACTGTTAGTCCTTATATAGATGGTTCACAAACTTCCTATGTCCCTCCAAACCTTAATGTATACTTTAAGAAAAAACTAAGATAGTAAAAATTTTCAAATATTAATCTTTCAACGGCTAATTCCAGTCAGGCTAATTGATACTGATGTTGACTTCAGTCCAAATTTACGTGGATTGCGTATCCACTTTAATTACCTGATCGTGCTAAGTTAAGCCGTGTTGTCTATATTTTGCTATATTACTAAAGTATACTGGCATCGCCAGTTACCTCTAATTATTGTGCTTGTGTAGTTTGATGTACAGGAAAAATAAGTATGTTAGTGCTCCAGTTGATTTAGGCTTAAGCAGCGAATTCATTAAAATCTTATTTGCTCTGACTGAGCCTCTACATGGGACTTCATAAATCTCAACCTAAACGTCAAGTATTTTCCGATTAAGTTCATCGTCTAATAATGCAATGTTGCAACTTTGTAATTTTCAATCAACTGAAATTGCAAACATTGTCTGAACTATTTGTTCCGTTGCTACATATGAAACAAAGTACTGGTTTGAAGCATCTTGTGAACAAGATGCTTAAAAAATCGAAACCACATTGAAAATCACGAAGTCCTTATTATCTTAAGCCTCACGATTTATGTATTTGGTAGTGGCTACAATACAACTAGTGACGGGAACACCGCTGTTTGCGCACTACTCTGCCATATTTAAACTGGCGTAGTTTATGATACTCAATCTTTCTTCCGTGTCTAGAAATCAAATTTGTACATTTGACACTATTACCCACAGCCTCATGGGTCTGCAAAATACTGTGATACGTTAAATTGTGTTGCTTTTGAGGTACAAAATATTCCGATGCATTTAAATGTTTTGTAAGATCATGATTTGGATATTTGTATCTGGCTGCAGTAAATTCGTGGTCTGATCAATCCTAAAACCCTGTTTGCAGAAGTTAAGCTTAATAGTGATTTTTAATATGATAAAAAAATAGTGTTTTGTAATTTATTTAACTTGGCTTAATGTTTACAAATAAGGGCCAAAGTTATAACGGGCGTCTCTTCTTGGATTGTAAAAGGTGTATCTGATGCCTCATTACTATGTTTTTTTTGTTTTTTTTTTCAAAATGAGCCCCAAACCTGGGCCCTACTCTGAGATTTGTTTTGCTTTAGGTCCTCAAAATTAGAAATTTTCAGGAAAAGGATAATTCACGTGAGCTTTTGCTAAACAATGCTTATATTTGTTGTTTCTTTTACCTAGTTGCCTAATGTGAAATTATTGAACAATTCAAGAGTATTTAATTACTTAACTGTAATAAAAATATTTGAGAATGTAACGATCAGATTTTTAGAGGTGAATTTGAGTTCTTACGAGTAGTGCGGAAGGATTGAGGACAAAATGTCTAATTTATAAGCCCTAAAATTTAATAGTCGTTTTGTCTAATGTTTTATTCATTTTACTGAGCATTTCGGATTTACTTCAATTGTTAGTAAGTTTATAAAGTGTTTTTTAAGGAATTTTCGTTAAAATCCAAAACATTAGGAAAACATGACACAAAAGTTGCTAGCATTGGCACAACGATAGTAATTGGTGTTAAAAGCCCACAAAAGGACCACATGTAGTTTATTAACTGTCTCGATCATTTTTTGCGATTGGACAACTTCGTACCTTACACCAGACAACAATGCCAATGTTTATTTGCTGCGAAGTACTTTGAAATACCAGTTTAGAACCTTTAATATGGCCGCACTTTGCTTCGTGAATGGTACATCGCGTATCCCTTTGCTTCACTTATAATTACTTTTTGGATTAATCTCTCAAAAGACACCGCTTTTGATTGTTAAGCAACAATTTTTGTTTTAGAATTATCAAAATTATTGGAAGTTGAGTTCGTATACCTCCCACTGGGCCTTCCAGATGCCAGCTACTCAGAATACTGGAGCCTTCTTGATGAGTTGAACAGCCGTTCATGGCGCACGTCGACGTCAGAAATCAGTCATGCCAGCAAGGATAAGCACTTTATTAGTTTGAAGGGTATTTGTGAGAGTGCCCGCCTCAGCGGCAGCGTGAGCGCTCTGCAAGCGGCGGCAGAATCCTTGCACCCCTTTCACCTTGAAAGTGTAACAGAGTTGGAGCTCTCAGGAAGTGCCTGTTCAAGGATCCTTCAGTCGTCTAGCATTGGTGCTCGAGGAGATGGTGCAACACAGTCGACCGATGTGAGCAAAATCTATCCTCATCAAATTACCACAAGTACGCTATTGAGTTAAAAATAATAATAATTTATTTAATGTCGTGTGATTGTCACTGCATCCACAGAGAATAAGACAAATCTGGTCTGAAAAGTGGTACATAAGAGCTATCACCAATTCAGAACCTGCTAGTGGTCGTTTTTGGTACCAACGTCACTTCAGACTAGAAGGTATTCGGATAAATATACCTTGTCGATAAGTTAACATTTGCATGGTCTAGAACTAGGGAACGAAGTTAAAAACATCTGTGCTTAGCTACTAGAATTTCTATAAGCAAACTTTTATTCAAAAATATAAGTGAACTTTAAGTGAAATTTCAATTCCCTAGATTGTCGTCGTATTGTTCATTTGTTTTCCTGGTTTAAATAATGCATTTTCAATTCATAAAGACTTGAGGAGTTACCGAGTTTCAAAAAAGAAAGTGATTTTTTTAAACACGAGTTTGATTATCTATGTAAGACAGTATTAAAGCATTAACTTGCCAAAATACAAAGCTATCTTTAAATACCATAGTTTTAGTCTTTACATTCTATAATTTATTAAAATCTTCTCTATCGCACAAGCATATTGTGTGC